CCAGCTACCTAGCAAAATTGAGTTCTAAAGTGGTTGGTTCTGAAGTCCCAATGCTAAGTATTTTCTATTTGTAAGTGCTGACAGGGGATACAGTGGGGATAAGAAGACAGATCAAGATGGACAGGTTTGATGTCTGGTTCTGCCAAAAAAGAAGAGCCATGCAATCATGGCATAAACCTCAATTTAGAATTGTTCATTAAGTGTACCGGATGTTTATATCTGAGTGCTCAGAATTTTCTTGGTATCAAAATGTACACTTTATTTTGCAGTGAGAATTCCACACTCTGAAATTTTAAACCGCAAAGTATTTAGCGCTACTAAAACAGACACAAGAGACGCAAACACATCAAAAAATGTAAATTGCTTCTGGAGCTATAATATATTCATCGTATTTCATCCTTGTTTTACGTGACCACAGTTCTTGTTGAAATCAACACCTTGAAGAAAATAGAAAGTTCCCTGTACCCTGAATGCGGGGAAATTCAGTGAATAATTGGTAAACCCGACTTTCATCTCTGACACAAACCGTAAACAGTGATGGCAACATTGACTATCCACATGTCCAACTGGTAGTTTAATAAAATTATGAGGAAATATATATCATACCTTACCATAAATTGAAATTGATACTAATAACTTAGTATTTTAATTGTTCGCATATATATTTAAATCAAAGCAACAAAATAACAATTCCGAACTATGAGCCCGAGGGAAATACAAAGGGAATTGTTAAGCGCATGCATCTATCAACAGTCAACCCTGGTATGTTGTCGGGCGTCGGTAAAAACGCAAGGAGGGAATATCTTTATTTACAAGCGATATATAATAAAAAGTAAGGTTAAGAACAAGCTGATAGTATTTTTTAAGGAATTAGCATATATTTTGATTCACAAGTGTAATCATACCGAATAGTTGTCTGTAACATTTAAGTTTGTACGAAGTGTGTATTAAGTGGCGTCAGTAGGCCTTTGGAAGGCTGCTTCAACCTAACCTATCAAGTTGTCGGAAAAATTAGTTCTCTAAAATTTATACAAAGTGCTGCTGAGATCATGGAAGAGGCTATGAATTTCCACACAACTAATATGAATCATCACTGTTTAGTTTGTGGGACAGACTCACTTGCGAATTATGTTGATTTGACACTGGTCACTTCTCGGACCAGTCAAAGTGAAAGTCTTGTGAAGGAAAAATTAAAAACTATTCTGCGTGATAAATGGATACCTCCGGATACTGAAATGTCAATGGTGATATGCTTGCCGTGTTTTCATTTGGTAGATCAGTTTGATGTGCTAGAAAATCAGTTAGAAAATATAAGGGATAATCTAGCAGCTAAATATGTTGGTACCAACGGAGTAAAGAAGCAGAAGACTCCAGAATCCTTTCCACCACCACCACCAGAAGATTTAAGTAATTCTGACAGTAGTGATGATGACAGGTCACTCTCTCCAGTAGTTATTACAACTACACGAGGTCGCAAACCAGGTACAATTAAAATCACAAAGCGGCCAAGTTACAGCAGGAAGGAGAAAACAACAAGAAGAAAGAAGGTTTCAGCAGAGGCCAGGAAGTCTGCTGCAGAGGCAAAAAAAGCAGCAGCTGAAATGAAAAAAGCTGCAACTTTAGCTAAGAAAGCTGCTGCTGAAGCAAAGAAGGCAGCTTTAGAAGCTAAAAGAGAAAAAGCAAGGGTAGGTATAGAATAAAAATATTTGTGTTCATGTACAGCAGACATTTGTGACATGTTATGAGGCCTGACCTTAATCATCTTTCATTTTAAAATGGTAAAAGACAATAGTAAGTTTGTTGAACTTCAGACTGCAAATGGTTAATGGAACCTGAATAAGGTATCTGCAACTTTTAAGACATTTTTTGTTTAAAATCACTATTTTAGGATAGACAAAGAGCCCAGTCTACACCTTTTTGTGTTACTTTAATTGGAGCAGAGTCTCTTGAGTATTAGTTTACTGAAATTAATCAAAATACATTGACTAGAATATTACTGTTAACCACCTGTACACAGCAGTTTCACTTTATGTTTTGAATTTAATTCACTTCTGACATGTTTCAGGTTATATATCCATCTTCAGGTAATTTTTTTTAAAGGTTTTTATATAAATTTTAGAAAATCAGAATTCTAGTGTTTAATGGCTGTATAGCAATATGGAAAAAGAAATGATGGCTTCAGGATGGGTAACTCGAAACATGTCACAAGAAATAAAGCAATATTTTTGTGTGTAGATGGATGATAGCAACAACAACAATGATAAATTTTACATGACATTTCTGTACAATCTTATGACTACAAATATGTCATGCACTGAACACAACAATCAAGTGTTGACGGATAAACATGAAATACATGAATGACACCAGTTGCATGAAATGGTACTGGAGACATGACATGCATATGGGGTTGCCTGTGTATGTTTATGATTTAACTAAAGAACCATTGGACAGCTTTGGATATGCCATTGGAATCTACCATTTTATCACTTTTAATTTTCCTGCCATTGGTAGTACCAACATGACACAAACTTGTGGGGTGGGATTGACACTAGCTCCACTTGCAGTATGATGGTATAGGTTTCTGGAAAATATAAAATTTTGGGACAGCATTTCTTTATATAATGTAAAATAACATGGCAGATACACACACAAAAAAAATCACAATACCAGGAATTAATTCCATGAACTCATGCCTGTGAGTCAAGTGTGCTACCTGCCTGGTGACAAGTTCAATTTTTTCCATTTCTGATTTGGGGATTTTCTTCATTTACCCACCAAATGCAACATGTTTTTTCTGAATGCTGCAAGTGATGTTTATGGTTCTCACATTGAAGATGTTCTGGTTTGACACCATGTAGGCTCGTAGATACTCCATGATGATGGGGGCAGTATGTTTCTCTGAAATGTTAGTTTCTACTTTAAACTCTACACAGTATCATAGCCTAGAAGATATTAGTTGTCTGGGTGGCTGTATATTCCAGAGAATTGGAGTAACCATGGTAAAAAAGGTAGCCTGAGCATTTTTCTCCCAGTCAGTTTTGTGTGCAGAAACACATGTACATCTTCATGAGTTGTTTACATGCAGACTGGGCAAAGCTAACAACTTCGTTTTTCAACATTTTGTTGTGAACGTGCCT